CTGCATCATGGGATTTGTAGTGTGTGTTATTGGGGCGTCATATCACAGGGCCATTAAAAACAGATATATAAAACGATTTCGCGGGCCGGATATAATTGTATGGCGGGCCGGATGTGGCCCGCGGGCCTTGAGTTTGACACATGTGATCTAGTCCTAAATTTGCCAATCATAAAATAATCTGGGGGAGGGGGGAACTGTTTTCAGCATGTTCACTTTTCAATTCTTTGGGATCTCATTGAAGCATTGTGAGATTATTTCTTAAAAGATAACGATGACACATTCTAATGTCATCAAAAGACATGCAAATGCAACATTTCCTGACCAATACATACATATGATTACATATATCAGTAGATTTTTAACAATTAACGATACTTGTGTATTTCCCTCTAACATTTTCCTCCCCATCTTGATTCTGTACAGAAGCAGCCCAATACTAAGAAACACACAATTTCAATGTATACTTACTTACGGAAATCCTCTTCTTTTATCTTGTCCAAAGCCTTTATAATTGCCATTCTTGTGAAAACAGACTGTAGAGTGAAATGAAAAATAAAATATCTGAGTCAAGGAAATATGAGAGGCTGAAGAAAGGATGTGGGTAGGGTAATTACATCATTTTGAGAAAAAAAAGAACTCAAAATACTCTTACCAATATAGATTGTTTTTTTATACCTAAAGTTTAATTATCCTATATTCCTATGCCTGACAATGTTTCCAATATCAGCATGTGCTGACACCCTACTAATCATGATTGTTGTTCTTTAACAATACACGCTGGTCAGTATGTCTCTGATCTTGCCAATACTTACGCACATGAGTAACTTGACTTGTGTATGTAAAGCTACTCAACATTGGCATCTGCAGGATTGAGGCCTAAACATTTTTAAAGTGTATGTGTAAGCATTGAAAACTCGTATTAAAATCAATGGGACTTAGGCTCTTTTCTTTTACCCCATCTCTTTGATTCTAGAAGATATTAAAAAAATATAATTACTTGTTCTATCTCATTCTATGGTTTATATTCAACTTCCTATAAATTGAAATACTGGCGTTTGGGACAGGTAGCGTGGAAAATATCTACAAAATATGTTCCCTTCCACAAATCATTTCACAACAAAACATAACTTTTCCCCAAAAATATTTAATGTCTGTTTGTTTTTATAAATCTGGGATAGGATTTTCAAAAGTGCCTAAGTGACTAGGAGCACAAGTCTCATGACTTTCAATAGGACTTGTGGTCTTAAGTCATTTAGATGGTTTTGAAAAATCCCATCCCAGATCCTTCAAAGGTTCAGGGATACATAATAGCTAGTTCAGTCCCTCCATAAGCTGAAGGAGCTGCCAGATACATCTCTAACAACTTTCTACATTTTAGATTATATGAAAGAATATGTAAAAGCAAAAAAAAAGGTCAGTGGGACTGGAGGGTTCAGGCCAAAATTTTCAAAAGTAAGAGCCTAAAATTAGACTTGTAAGGCCATATTTAGGCACCTAAATTAATGAAGTCATTTTTAAAAGGGCTGAGCATCCACCCGCCCCTATTTATCTCACTGGGAGCTGCTGAGTGCTCAACACTTCTGTAAATAAGGCTACAAATTCAGGCACCTATATATGGGCTTTCAAGTCTATTTTTAGGCTCCAACTTTTGAAAATCTTGGCCCCAGTGTACACTTAATAACAGTAGCAAATGTTATAGATCAATATGTACTGTTGACAATGGATAGTAGAAAGTGATGTTATGTATGGAAGACTAAATATGATTGGGCTAACATATGTCTCAGATTTTCCATGATGGAAAGGACTTTTAAGAGAGAAAACAAACCCTTATGAAACAATTACAGTCTACTGCTAAGGAAAAATATATACAACTTGCCATTTAAGTACATGCCCAGGACACATTCCTCAGTTTAATTTCTTTGAAAACAGAACTCCACTTGGATTTACCACCAACAAAGTGATATTCCTGGGTGCCTGCTCTGAACACCGTCAGATGTGCACAGCACAAGACAAGGTAGGTGACTCATGAGCCATGAACATGTGCCTACTGGGAATTTGTGCACACACATCTGGTAGTGAGGAAAGATATCCAGCAGGTATAGTGCTAGCCTGGGTTCAATTCCCTGCTCTGCCAAAGGCTTCCTGTGTGATCTTGGATAAGTCACTTAGTCTCTCTATGGCCATGTCTACGCTGGTGGTGGCATTTAAGATATGGGTAGCTACCATAGGTAGTCATTGTGGAGAAACTAAATGAATTCTTTGCTTCAGTCTTCACGGCTGAGGATGTTAGGGTGATTCCCAAACCTGAGCCGGCTTTTGTAGGTGACAAATCTGAGGAACTGTCACAGATTGAAGTGTCATGAGAGGAGGTTTTAGAATTAATTGATAAACTTAACATTAACAAGGCACCGGGACCAGACGGCATTCACCCAAGAGTTCTGAAAGAACTCAAATGTGAAATTGCGGAACTATTAACTAGGGTTTGTAACCTGTCCTTTAAATCGGCTTCTGTACCCAATGACTGGAAGATAGCTAATGTAACACCAATATTTTAAAAGGGCTCTAGAAGTGATCCCGGCAATTACAGACCGGTAAGGCTAATGTCAGTACCGGGCAAATTAGTTGAAACAATAGTAAAGAATAAAATTGTCAGACACATAGAAGAACATAAATTGTTGGGCAAAAGTCAACATGGTTTCTCTAAAGGGAAATCGTGTCTTACTAATCCATTAGAGTTCTTTGAAGGGGTCGACAAACATGTGGACAAGGGGGATCCAGTGGACATAGTGTACTTAGATTTCCAGAAAAACTTTGACAAGGTCCCTCACCAACGGCTCTTACATAAATTAAGTTGTCATGGGATAAAAGGGAAGGTCCTTTCATGGACTGAGAACTGGTTAAAAGACAGGGAACAAAGGGTAGGAATTAATGGTAAACTCTCAGAATGGAGAGGGGTAACTAGTGGTGTTCCCCAAGGGTCAGTCCTAGGACCAATCCTATTCAACTTATTCATAAATGATCCGGAGAAAGGGGTAAAAAGTGAGGTGGCAAAGTTTGTAGATGATACTAAACTGCTCAAGATATTTAAGACCAAAGCAGACGGTGAAGAACTTCAAAAAGATCTCACAAAACTAAGTGATTGGGCAACAAAAAGGCAAATGAAATTTCATGTGGATAAATGTAAAGTAATGCACATTGGAAAAAATAACCCCAACTATACATACAATATGATGGGGGCTAATTTAGCTACAACAAATCAGGAAAAAGATCTTGGAGTCATCGTGGATAGTTCTCTGAAGATGTTCACGCAGTGTGCAGAGGCGGTCAAAAAAGCAAACAAGATGTTAGGAATCATTAAAAAGGGGATAGAGAATAAGATGGAGAATATATTATTGCCGTTATATAAATCAATGGTACGCCCACATCTTGAATACTGCGTACAGATGTGATCTCCTCATCTCAAAAAAGATATATTGGCACTAGAAAAGGTTCAGAAAAGGACAACTAAAATGATTAGGGGTTTGGAGAGGGTCCCATATGAGGAGAGATTAAAGAGGCTAGGACTTTTCAGCTTGGAAAAGAGGAGACTAAGGGGGGATATGATAGAGGTATATAAAATTATGAGTGATGTGGAGAAAGTACATAAGGAAAAGTTATTTACTTATTCCCATAATACAAGAACTAGGGGTCACCATATGAAATTAATAGGCAGCAGGTTTAAAACAAATACAAGGAAGTTCTTCTTCACACAGCGCACAGTCAACTTGTGGAACTCCTTACCTGAGGAGGTTGTGAAGGCTAGGACTATAACAGCGTTTAGAAGAGAACTGGATAAATTCATGGAGGTTAAGTCCATTAATGGCTATTAGCCACGATGGGTAAGGAATGGTGTTCCTAGACTCTGTTTGTCAGAGGGTGGAGATGGATGGCAGGAGAGAGATCACTTGATCATTACCTGTTTGGCTCACTCCCTCTCGGGCACCTGGCATTGGCCACTGTCAGTAGACAGGATACTGGGCTAGATGGACCTTTGGTCTGACCCAGTACGGCCATTCTTATGTACCTGCTGCAGTGAAAAGGCTGTGTTCACACTGTGGTATGTGGCTACATGTGGCAGTGAAAGGCTCTGGCGGGGGGAAGCAGTGGAGGAAAGCTCCAGAATCAGGAAGCCGCTGAAACCTTTCCACACTGCCTTCTCTCTGACAGGGCCTTTCCCCACTGCTGGAATCTTTCACTGCGGTGGGAAAGGCTCCGGGAACAGGGACACCACACTGCTAAAAATAGCAGCGGAGATGTGGGAGGCACTTCATGGGCCACTGTGGAGAACCATGTAGGGTACACAGCCTAAGGTTCTGGTGTGTCTTTACTCACCTAAGCCATGCCTCTCTGTCTGCACTGCTATTTATACCTGTGCAGTGGGGTATGCAGTGTATGTACTTTACACACCATGGTAAGTATAGGCATAGAGAACTGAGATATAGGCTGTGTGTAAAGTGAGGATAACAACACTCCTCTACCTCACAGAGGTGCTGTGAGGATAAATGTATTAAAGCTTGTGAGGCACTCCCACAGTAGAATGATAGAAGGCATATAGGTATCTTAGATAGATTTGTATTTAACAGACATCTTAATATATTCTGTAAAAATGTACATTTATAGGTGATGAACAAATAAGACTGGCAAATTTAATTTACTTCAGAAATGTATGATGAATCCCCTTCTCTCCAGGTGCATAGTAGTTATCTGCCTATGTACTTTCAATGTGCTCATCTCCATGGTATCTAGGCTCAGTCAGCACATAAACAGCTATCTAAACATGAAACTTTCCCACTGTTTCTAGCTCCTCCAAAGTCATGCTGTCAACTACACTGCAACAGCCAGAATGTAGCATTCTGGGATATCACAGCTACCCAGGAAGACCAGTAGGGTAAAATACGCAGCTGGCCTATATGAGTTCCGGTAAGTTATTATTATCATTGGATAAAGAGTTTCTTTGTTATTTCCTATCTCAAAGATATAAAGTCTCTTAGCAAAAGCCTTCTGGATGGTATTTAAAAAAATATTATTTTCAGTTCAAACAGTCTCACTGCACTATATTTCTTCCATTGTGTTACACAAGTAGCACTATAATTACCAGAACTGGCCAGGAAAATATTTTTTTCTTCTGAAATTTTTTGACTCAAACCAATTATTCTTCTGTTTTTGTCAAAATTTTCCAAGTCTAATCAAAAAATGAATTTATTTTAGTTTTTGGTTGCTGGAAAATTTAAGTTTTTGGCAAAAATGGAAATTGCCCACAAACATTTCCATTTAATTGAAAAGCCTTTTTACATCAGAAAAAGTCTGGACAGAAATTTTTTTCCAGCTCTAAAAATTACTTTCAGTCACTGGCACTAACTCAGCTCCACACACGAAAGTGACTTGTACAGAGTAATGTTTACACTTTCAGATGGAACACTGTGTTACACAGACTGAGACCCATTCCTGCATCTCCTAAATCATGTGTGGCTACGTTACATCTTTGGCACTAAAAGGCAAGTCCTGCTCCCTGCAGGCACTTCATTGCATGGCAAGGGGAGGAGAGGACGAGGATATGGAAAACCCACACAGGGTCTGCCTTCCCTGTGCTTCACGGGTGCTCTTATCATGCCACTACAGGGATGAGTTTAAGTTTGGGCTGAGGAAAGGTGGATTCAGTGGTGACACCCTCTGTTGGGTGGTGTACAACAGTTGTGGGTACTACTGCAGCCATGTAGTCCCGTAGTAAACAGGAAGCAGCATACCATTCTGCACATGTTTTGTTTAATTTGGAATGGTGGCCAGGGGAAAATGCTCTAGGACAATTTTATTTTTCCCCCTGTTGCTAAGACTAGATTCTCTCTCTCTCTCTTTTTTAAGCCTTATTTCAGCCATATCCTCCATGGACAGTAGGTAGTAGTCCTGCTATACTGATATTTTTAGAGTATCCAAACCAAATTCCTGTACGTATTGGGAATGTTTTTGAAATGATAGCTCTCTTGCTGTAGGTCTGGGAATGGAGTCCAGAGGCATCATAAACAGAAGAAAAGTTGAGAGTTGAGTGAATAAAAGGAGGCATATGAAACAACTGGAGAACCTTTTAGAGAGGAGGCAAAGAAAAATAGGCATTAAAGTAATGACTGAATTTCAAGAAACCTTCCTTTATTTTAATCATTGACATGAGAATTCTGATCCCAGAAGAATGATGCTGATGACAGATATGGGATTCTTACCTGTTTATTCTTTGCTGGCTTGAAACAGTCTGGACATACTGTGGCTCTAAATAGAAATAAAAAAATAATTGATATGATCACTTAAATAAAAGACACTTATCAAAATGAAAATACCCAGATACCAGATCTAATTTTTGAGCAGCAATGCCCTACACTTTGTGTCTCTATCACTCTCCAGTCTGGGATGGAGTTAAGATTTTTCAATCTTAAATTGATGCCAGAAGATGCCAGTCTATTTGACCTACATAAACTAAAATCCTCTGATTACCCACAGAATATGTACAGTCTGGGTAGTGGCTGTGCAAACCTTTCCCATTTTGATTCCTACCCATGTCCCTCAGTTTTGAGCTGGAATGAGGAGGTATGTGGGGAGATCAGTCTCCTATGACCTTTCTTCTGAGACTGCCAACAAAGATGACTGACAATACTGTGCACCTTTGCAAGATGGACTGACTTCCCTAGCTCTCTATTGGTTCTTTTCCTGTTCCTAACCCATGCATCATAGCTTAAAATGCAACACCCTGACTAGTGGTGTCCCAATACACCTCTGAATGTTATTACTGAACAGGAAAAATCAGTCTAATGTAAAAAAGGTAACATCAGGTCATCCAGATCTTTGAGATTCTTTCTAACACTCCTAAAAGGAAACTATTTATTTTCTGATTCACAAAAGTGAAAATTCTAATCAGTAAAACATTTAGCACTAGAAGCTTTTCTGAGTACTGGATGTTTGTCAAGGAAGTTTACGAATTAGTGGATTGCTATGTATGCAGTAAGACAACATAATTTCTTTTGTCCATGCCACGTATTTTTTATTCTCTCCTGCTGCTGCTCTTCAGGTTATGACAGCAGCACCTCAAAGGCTACTTCAGGGTAAAACGAAACTGATTGTAACAGCAGACCCCTTGTGACTTTCTACACGTGTCATTTGTGGGAGATAATATAGAGTACATTGACTTCCTTTTTCCAGAATTTAAATCATTCTTATTTTAATCTAGTTTCCAAGTATAAGTTAACAAAACAAGTTAAATGTTCCACTTCAAACCACAGAGTACTACACACAAAACAGATCACTTTCTTACACACCTTCTGCAGGTGTTAGCACAGGAGCAGTTTGAGAGGGGACAGAAGAGACAGTGGTGGCTGCTCCTGAAACACTTCTCAAAAGGGTGTTCCCAATCAGACTGCTCAAAAAACCCCAATTTTTTACCATGTTCTCTCTTATTGAAACTGGCACAAAGAGCCTGTTCAGGGGAATCAGCTGTCGTGTAGCCAAAGACCACTGGGTATGGAAGGGCCTCTCCAGGCTCAAACAAGAACCTACTTTCTTACCACAGCAAAAAATCCACTATCAGTTTTCAAGTCCTGATAATTAAGGTATCAAATTTTACCATAGTCATATTAGAAGTAATCTAAAATGCACTAAAATGTGTACACAGACCTCCCTAGACACAGCCCTCTGTCTGAGAAGACTTGCACATCTGGAGAATTATCACTTGAGAAAGTTCTCTGAGTTATTGGCCACAGTGAATAATATATTATATTACCTAAAAGTCTCACCATAGCTTTCCAATCTGGCTGCACTGAGAAAGCAAGTGGAGGGATCTCCTTCCTGAATTCAAGCCCCTTATGCTGCTGGATGAAATGTGGGCATTTCATCCAGATCCCAGGGTTGCTTTACTGCAGGGGTCTCAAACACGGCCCGCGGCGTTATTTCCTGCAGCCCGCCATAGACGTCAACTCCACCAGCAGCCAAGCTCCCCTCACTCCCCGCCCCTTCCTCCTTCCCCTTCCAAGCGCGCTACGTCCCTGCTCCTCCGCCTACCTCCCAGCACTTCCCGCCGCCAAACAGCTGTTTGGCGACACTTAGGACTTTCCAGGAGGGATGGGGGAGGAGCGGGGACGTGGCAGGGATTTGGGGAAGGGGTTGGAATGGGGGCAGGAAAGGGATGGGAAGAGGCAGGGCCTCATGGACTAGACGAGCAGTCTGAGGTATGAAGTTCAGCATGTATGATTCTTTGCTGTGAGTAGTTGGTAAGAATGTTTGTTAAAAGTGGCAACGTATTTTGTATGAATAGTTACTTCAAAAAGTTCCTGCCATTACAGATATGTTGATAGACTGTTAGTGTAGATCATCATCAGTGTTACTGACTGCATAAGGAATAGTTACAGGTGTTTATATTTTATTAAAACCCTTCTTCGCATTACAGTTTTTAAAAAGTTAACACATTGACTTTTAATAGCATGCTATATTACTCTTCATTTTTTACTATACTTTTGAATCATTGTATTAAAAGGTTTCAGTGATGTGGCCCTCGGGCCAATGTTCTAGTCCTCATGTGGCCCTCGTGGTGATTTGAGTTTGAGATCCCTGCTTTACTGCTTTCTCCTCCCCCTGCCACCAACTCCCTCCACAGCTGCATTATACTGCTAGCTGCTAACTTGTCCTGTATAAACATTTTCAAAAGGTGTCCAACAGAAAGGGAGGAAGTAAGAGAAGAGGGCAGAGAACAAGGGAAGGGAACAAGAAAGACTGGGGAGGAAGAGGTAGGACAGCGAGGAGGGTGGAATAAGGACAGAGATGCAAGGCCTGGACAGTACCACAGCATTATTTTGCCAATAGGACTCCAGCTGCCAGCAGTCAGAATTGTGGGCTTCCCCTCCAAGCCACAGAAAGCTGACTGGAGAGGGAAATAAGGGAACTTTGATTCTTCCCTGTTCCCCCCGGGTCACCTCCTAATGTGAAGTCCTCTCAGTCAGCGAAGAAGCTCTTGTAAAATAAGAGATTTGGGAGGGATGTGGCTGGTGGGCGGCAATAAAGTGACAAATTAGGCACTCAAAAGAGGAGTAAGTAAGGCAGTAAGGGCAGCAACAGATGAAAGGAAGTCAGAAAGGCCAGAGACATGCTCTAGTTTCTGATCTTGAGGATAGATAGCAGCTGCCAACTGACAGTATCCTGGTCAGAGAAGTTGTATGGGAAGGCACCTTCCATGCTCTGATTTAACACCTACCAGGAACACGTGCAGTGAAACTGCCTAAAGCTCTAGCTTTTGGGGGGGAAAACAGCAAGCAGGAAGACCATTTTCTCACAACATGCTCCCTCTAGCTGTTAAGGGATGTGACTAAATGATAGCCAGATTTCCAGAAATCCTGGATTTCTTTGCCAGTGAGAAAAGGATTTCTATGGCAGCCGCTCTGCAGAGCAAGACCAAGTGATTATGTAACACGTTGGGGGGGGGGGGGGTTTAAAGTCTTGCCTTTAACTAACTCACTTCTGATCCCTCCCTCCATACCCAAATTCCCGAAATAAGCGGAAAACCTCAGTATTATATAAACATATGCTCACAGGTTATCAAAAGTACTTCACACACCATGTAAAGTCATCGTTTATTATAATATGAACAGTACAACAGGCCTAAATCAAATGCCTGACCCGACTTCATTTCTCTGTAATGGACCAAATCAAAATTCTAGACCCACTCACTCCGACATTAAGGTTGACAATCCAGATCCAAACATTTCCAAACTTTAGGCTGTTTGGATTTGGTGTGCAGATTTGGCCCTTCAGAGATACCATAGATTTAAGCTGCAAAGAGGAACCTGGATTTGGGGTTTGGAGTCAGGTCCAACTCTAGATCACAAATACTGGAGACATTGCATTTGCTACAGACAAACTCTAACAATTTGCACAATATTAAGATAAAGATCTTGTTGTTTGTATTGCAACTTACAGGAAATGGCAATCCTCATCAGTTTCCGGGTGAGCAAACACCACACTCACTTCGAACAAGCTCTAAGACAAAAAAGAACGGTAACAATTTCCTTTTACTAAGCGCTAGCAATTTATTAACCAAATATATAACAAATGGTTCAAGGATCCTTATTGATATAATACAGAAAAACAGTAAAGGAGGAGGAGAAGAGGAAGATAGAATTGCAGCATAAATGGGAAACTTTTAAATGTGTCACTGAGAAGCCATTTCAGAAATATATCATAAGACTTCTATAGCACTCAACCATCTCAATGCACTTTACAAGCATTTTGTACATGGGGGAACTAGCACACAGAGAGAATAACAGCCCAAAGCCTATTAGGCTTGGAAGGATTAGATCTTTATTGGTAAATGTCAGTAAACATTGATTTCACCGTACACACAAAAACCAATGGAAAAACTATTTCAATCGGTAATAGAAATTTACAGATAGGCAAAGTAAGAAAAATGCTGCTTGAGAACATATTTGAGCTGGATTTAAGGATATTAACTTTGCATATTTTGACATGTGATATTGACAATTGGTGTTTAACAGTTACAAAGATTAAACTTTTTTGAGTCTGTCATTAAATGATTATCTGATCCCCTTGCTGTCTGACCTCCCCCATAATTTCCTATAACTGTGTGAACATTTAAATTGAAAAAAATGCTTAAAATAAACATTGATATTATCTGTCAAAATTATATTTAAAAAATCAAATTCCGCCAAGCCTACCTATTATGGTCACTAAGCCTAGCAAATCATGGGACAAAACCAAACCAGTCACCCTTGTAAGCAGTTCATTCCAGGACTTAGTCTGCAATGACTGGATGCCTTTAAGCCATAAAAGAAAAGCAATGTGATTTAGTGGATTGACGACAGAACCAGGAACTCTAGAGTAATCTCAATGCTGCCCACAGTTCTCTTGCCTTCGGCAAATCATTCTCTCATTACCACACTTATTCAGATACCAACCTACCTCACAAGGCTGTTGAGAGGTTTAGCTAATGTTTAAATGATTTTAAGTTATAAAGCATTAGGCTATGTCTACACTACAGAGTTAAGTTAACGCAATTTACGCCGACGATCATAAACCACTATAGTAACATCGCTTGTGCACGTTCACACAATGCTCCCTGTGTCAGCGGCATGCGTCCACAGCTGGTTCTCTAACATCGACAGAGAGAGCAGTGCACCATGGGTATCCCACCGTGCAACTCGCCACCGTCTGCCTCTATTAGTTGTAGGAATGAGGAATGGATCACAGTGCATCATGGGTTCACCATCCCATGATGCAGTTTTTTCTGTCCCATTATTCCATGGGCTTCTAATCACATTTCGCGCCATTTTTCAATAGCCCCTGGAAACAGTACGCCCACCATCTTTGCCTGAAATCAGGGATTCAGCACTGCTCTCTAGTCTTGTAATAAGTGTTGTGAACACAACGCGACTGATCATGCAGTATTTAGGAGTTGTGAATCTGAACAGGAATCCGTGATGCCTGCCGAGCTGCATGCCATGGAAAGAAACAATTCCAGATTACTTTTGGCATTCATGATTCAGTTGCACAGGGTGGACCATCGCTACTGGGCTCGGGAAACAAGCATCAAGTGGTGCGATCGCATCGTCATGCAGGTATGGAATGACGAACAGTGGCAGCAAAACTTCTGGATGCGCAAAGCTAGCTTCCTGGAATTGTGTGCAAAGCTCGCCCCTGCCCCGCAGCGCAAGGACACTAAAATGAGAGTTGCTCTCTCAGGAGAGAAGTACGTGGTGATCGCTGTGTGGAAGCTGGCAACTCCAGACTACCACCAGTCGGTCGCGAATCAGTTTGGAGTTGGAAAGTCCAACATGGAGTTTATGTTCACGCAAGTTTTCAGGGCCATTAATCACATCCTGCTAAGAAGAACTGTGACTCTTGGAAATGTGTGTGAAATAGTGGATGGTGTTGCAGCAATGGGATTCCCTAACTGCAGCGAGGTGATAGATGGGATGCATATCCCCATTTTGGCCCCAAACCATCTTGCAACGGAGTACATCAATAGAAAGGGGTACTTCTCTATGGTATTGCAGGTGCTTGTGGATCACCGGGGTCATTTCACTGGGATGGGCAAGGAAGGTGCATGATGCACACATCTTCAGGAACACTGGCCTGTACAGAAAGCTGCAAGCAGAGACTTTCTTTCCAGACCAGAAGATTCCAATGGGGGATGTTGAAATAACCATAGTGATCAGGGAGACCCAGTATACCCCTTACTCCCATGACTCATGAAGCCTTACACAGGAAACCTGGACAGCAGCAAGGAGTGCTTCAATACTAGGGTGAGCAGATGCAGAATGATCGCTGAATGTGCCTTTAGCAGATTAAAGGCTCACTGGTGCTTCCTTTATGGCAGGTTAGACCTCAATGAGGAAAATATTCCCATGGTCATAGCAGCCCATTGTACACTGCATAATATTTGTGAAGCTAAGGAGGAGAAGTTTCCCCAGGGATGCAGCATGAAGGCAGATCACCTGGTGGCTGATTTTGAGCAGCCAGATACTAGGGCTATTAGAGGGGCACAACAGGGGGCTATTTGAATCAGGGAGGCTTTGAAGCAGCATTTCGACAATGAGCCCCAGTAACATGTCTTTATGTAATGCATTCAGCCAGGCTTTGTTTACTTGCACTGGGACTGCACAGCCTCCTCTCCCCACAGAGCCAGCAAATCCATCAACTCCGGTGTACTCCATGCGGGAGATCATTTAGTGTGTGGAGCTGCCATGGTCAGCTGGAAAGATGCAATGTGAGCTCTCCACGCTGAGCAAACAAGAAGTGGAATTTCAAAAATTCCCGGCCCTTTAAATGGGGGAGGGACAGATGCCTGTATACCTGGCTGCAGGGCAGTGGAGCTCAAACTGCTGACCAGAGCAGTCAGGATAGGCATTGTGTGGCACCTCCTGGAGGCCTTTATGGCAAAATAAGCAAGCGCAATGTCTACACTGACACTGCGTTGATCTAACTTTGCCGCAAAAAGCTTTACACCTCTCATCAAGGTGATTTTATTTTGTCGGCTTAGCAGGGGAGTACATCGGCGTGAAGAGCATTGACGTGTGTACACTTTCACTGTTTTGTTGACAGAACTGTGTAGTGTAGACAAGGCCTTAGATCACTTATTTTTATGGTAAACTTATAACTAGAGGGACTCAGTGTTTGTGTGTTCTAGAAGGTCTCTTGCTATCTTTAACGTTTAAAGACATTTGTTTCTATATATGTCATGACTAAGAAAAGACTCCTTAGTCTTTAACTCTACCAGCTAATTTGTATAAAAACTACTGCTTGCCTTGTCTCCACTAGGATTTACTTGCAATAGCTAACTTGAGGTAAAAGAGCACTTTTTTTGTTTACCAGATAAGACCAGTGACAGACTTGTCTATCTAATTAGAACCCATCAATGTTATGAGTAATTTATACGAATTCAGGAAAACAACAACTTTATTATTCATACAACACCTTTCCATCAGCAGGAACACCCAGCTCCTCCGAGAACAGGGGATGAATAATCCATTTGTATGTTTCTTTCAGCTGAACAACGTCCTCTTTTGCCAGTGATAGGCCCTGTTTTCTGAATCATAAAAAATAAACAATGAAAACTTGTATATGAGTCAGTCAAACAATCATACCTCTGACATTTCATGCTAAAAATAATTGACCATTCACTAACATAAAATTTGGGTATAAACAGGCCAAAACTGTACAGTGTACAGAACATGGTGTGAAGGACAGGGTGCTGCTCTGTAATAATTTCTGAATACTATAAACTTGTCTGATTGTCATATGGGATGCTTACTATGTCTATATTGGGTTAAATCAACAAGGCTGTGAGGAAATAAAAAGGAAGGCAAAAGAATGACTGGAGAAAACCCGCCAGGGAAACACTTCAGTGTGTTTGAGATATTGCCTGAGCTATTAATTGTGAAGATCCTACTATATCAGCTCCAGCCAAATTACATAGCTTGTTTAGCCTGGGTTCCAACTGCCAATGCTTGTGTTATCAATATATCAAAAGGACTACAAAACAGGTATGAGGACTCTCTCTGTCCAAAGGTCAGAGTGTGTTGAGGAGCTGTTTGTGGGAACAGACTCTCTCACATGGACCCTGGCTGATGGGTATGAAGAAATTAGGCCTTCCTAGACTCCCCTCACAGAGGGTGGGGTGAGGACTGAGGTAAAATACATGAGTGTAGATGGTACCTTTCGTTGTTTAACATTATTTTTCTCTTATATTATGCTTTATTCCTGCTGTTAAAATTAAATAATACTTCGGTTTAAGAAGGCCGTCTGGTCCGCTGGCCACAAACTCCTGAAGGGGAGAACTGAAGGTGCCAAGCTTAGTCAAACCTGCTGGCGTGAGCACTGAATCTGTGAGGTAACATAGCCTCAGGATGAGTCTAAGGGTATGTCTACACTACGAAATTAGGTCGAATTTATAGAAGCCGGTTTTATAGAAATCTGTTGTATACAGCCAATTGTGTGTCCCCCCACATAAAATGCTCTAAGTGCATGAAGTTGGCGGACCGCGTCCACGGTACCGAGGCTAGTGTCGACTTCCGGAGCGTTGCACTATGAGTAGCTATCCCACAGTTCCCGCAGTCTCCGCCGCCCATTGGAATTCTGGGTTGAGATCCCAATGCCTGAATGATGCAAAACAGTGTCACGGGGGGTTCTGGGTACATGTTGTCAGGCACCTCCCCCTCCGATTATTTTTCCAG